ATGCCCGGGAGGCTCAGATCCAGAGTGTTGCAAAAAGATAGGGACTACTTTCAGGCCAAAGTATGTGTGTGTGTGTGTATGTGTGTATGTATATATATATATATACATATATATATATATATATATGTGTTCATTCTGCTTGGGGGGCAGGGACCCTTTCGGGATATTTCGACTTTTCGGGCTTTGGTTCACTGTCTGTGAGTGAGATGGGGGACTAGGAACTATTTTGGGGTTACCCTACAGGATCATAAGATCGTACATATAGGACTCCATGGTAGGAACTATTTGTGGGCTACCTGATAGGATCCTAAAAATACAAAACTGGTCAAACCAGAAAAAGGAACTATGATATAGAAACTACAGGCAGGGCTCCACCCCAACAACCATCACGGGAAGCCTTAAACCCTAAAGCCCAAAGACATGCGCGGCCAAAACCCTAAATCCGTAGCCCCAAACCGGACCTGTAGCCCTTCATCCACAAATGTCGTAGGGAATGACCCTGAACATGATCTGTAGAGGTTCAGGGTTCAGGATCAAGGAGTATGAAGTAGAAGTGTATCTATATCAATATAACCGAATATAAAACAATAGAATAATATATATATATATAATGAAATATATAACCGTACTATATATATATATACATACATATTATATATATATATATATACAGATATCATGCCGCAAGCCCCCAGCCCGCGGATGCAACCCACCTGCACCCAGCTCCAAGCATCGGCGTCCGAAGACTGCATCCAAGTCAGCGGCTGCCTATCTCCGACGAGCTGCAAAGAAACCACAACAACAAGATAATTAATGTAGGGGCCTTAATAATTCGAATAGGGTTTGGGGTATTTTATACTATACTTATAATAAGGAAACCCCGAAATAGTATCGGTAATTATATAGGCCACTATATTAATCTGGGGCTAGTGACATGAGCGCTCCTTGGGCTTCAAGTGTGCATCTGGGGAGCTTGCATTATCTGCCATCCCGATTTATCAGCAGACAGTTTGCATGCTTCGGGTGTAGGCTGCGGGGACTAGGGCTGAACACAAAGCCCTAAACCCTTAGCCCTAAAAACCTAAACCCTAAACCCCTAAAACCCTAGCATTGCGGTCCCAGCTTGTTGAGGTACGACATCCAAAGCCTTCAAACCTTACTTCCTGGCACTTGCGGGGGGCCTCAATACCTAGAAGATGGATTTAGGCCGTACAAAGCTATAGATGCACTGAGTATATAAGGGAACGGGGTTTACAAATTTAACTGTTCAAGCTTCTATAACAGGTCTCAAGGCCCATCACATGTGCTGCAAAACATATGCTGTAAGCTAGAAAAATACACCCTGAACACTCAACGTGTCCGAGATCCTGCATGACTGACATGCTCCAGAGCCCTAGCCGAGTCTTGCCACGTTCGAACCATAAATGAACAATTTGAATTTCATTTTCGGGGTTCAGCATGTGCGACATGTAGGTGAAGAGTGCGAGCATCAAGGCCCCAACAGATTTTACACCTCGTCCTGGAAACTAGGGCTATGTAGACTAGAACAGAAAAAAAGAACGTCTGAAGCGGCTGCCCTGGGCTTTCGGATTTGTGGGCTTAGTCGAGCGGTTTACAAACTTGACAAGTGGCCTCAGAATCTCTGATTTAAAGCCTCAAAGCTTCATCAGCCATAGAGTTTTGGAGTTTACTTCCTTTACCCTGAATCTTGCTGGGTTCGATGCCTCTTCGGCACAGCGGCCACTGCTGCGAAGCTCCTTCCACGGCTAGATTCAGTTTCGGGGGCATGATCAAGCCTCCAGTCCCCAAACCTTACAACATTGCCCGGCAACCCCGGAAGCCCCAAAGACGAAGATGGTAGAAGCTTGAGGGAGACGATTACTGAGGGACCTAGCCTAGATCAGCTCGTGAGATGTAGTCCGGCTCTCTTAAATTAGGCAGAATAATGCCCGCATCAGTCCCAAAACCCTAAACCGTAAAGCCCTAAAGCTCTACACCCTAAACTCTATTAAGCCCTAAAGCCACGCACGCGCGTATCTGGCCATGTGTCTTTCTTCACTTTTCGTATCCGGAGAGGGGGAAAGGGGGGGTTGGGAGGGGGGATGCGGGGGCGGGGGGGAGTGGGGTGGTTACGACCATTTTACACAAACCAAACCAAAACTCTGCTATTTACGGCGTTTTTGCCTGCTTATACAACATGTGTAAGAGGATGTTTGATGTTCAGCTAGACGAGGCCTGGTCACAAGTGTTCATGACATTTGCGAACATGCACAGAACCCTGCTATTTGCAGCTTTTTTGCCTCTTTATACAACATGTTGCAGAACAACGTTTCATGTCACAAGTGTTCATGCCATTTCGCAAGCATGCCCCAAGCCCTGCTATACAGCTACTTTGCCTCTTTATCATTTCGCAAGGATGCCCCAAACCCTGCTATACAGCTACTTTGCCTCTTTATACAACGGGCGTCTCATTGAATACATCTACAGCTGGGTCTGGCGCTCGCAGTTCGATCCCAAAGCGGATGTCGCGGATCACTTGGGGAACGTGTGCCAAAATGAGTGCCCTAAGTTTGAGTCCCTGGATTTCCTGNNCGAATCCCTCCATTTCCACAGCCACACGCACAAAGTCATGTAATTTATAGCAATTGCCGCGTATGCCCTAAAACATACAGGCCCGCCGCCACGAGGCCAGATATCAACGTGTGACCCCCTCAAGCCCTAAACCCTGAACCCGAAGCCCTATAGCTAACCCTGAACCCTCGGCACTAAAGCCCTAAAGCCCTAAAGCCCCAAACCCTTAAGCCCGAAAGCCCTAAGCCCTAAACCCTAAAGCCCTAAACTTCGAGGAGCGTCGAACCCTTCCTCCCAACAGAGCGAAGGGCTTAGGCTTGTGAAGCTTCGGGGTTGCGCAGGATTTCAAGGTTTAGGGCCTAGGCCTTGGCGTTAGGGTTTAGGGTTTAGGGTGTAGGGCCTAAAGTTTAGGGTTTAGGGTGTAGGGCCTAAAGTTTAGGGTTTAGGGTTTGGGGTTTGAGGGTTTGGGATTTAGGGTTTGGGGGCCCGGAGTGAGCCATTACAAGAGTGAAAGAAGTAGGATGTTGCTTTGGGGTGGCCGAAGAAGCTTGCACCGGCAGGGTTGCTCTAAACCCTAAACCCTCCTGTATAAGAATCTTGTTCTAATGACCCTTATCCTGAACATAGCAACCTCTGTATAAGACTGAGTATTTACAGGAAATATTCTTATACATATGCATATATATATATATATATGTATATACAAAACTTAGCTATTTCTAATTCTGATTGTTTCAACTTTTTACATGTTCAATATCGGATTTATTGAAAAATCTAAGATCCGAGTATTCGAAGCCTTTTGAAGGCCCTGAACCCGGAGCACCGAGCTTTGGGCCTTGGTAGAAGTCTCCAAGAAGCATTGAATGGTGTTGTGGGGGTCCAAGGAAGGCTCCGAATTTCCGGTTTAGGGTTTCGGGCTTGGGGTTTAGTTAGGGTTTAGGGAGTTTAGGATTCAGGGTTACCTGTGGCGGAAAAACCTAGCGTTTGAGGGTTCCGCATAGATTCCTCAACAAGCTAGGCTTTTTGGGGCCATAAGTAAGGTTTGGGGTTTGTAGAAGCACTAAGTAACTCTTGAAGAAATGGCAACTAAGAACAAATCCTAAACACAAACCCTATCGGACCTATACGTACAATGGACAGGCACTACTGGATTTCTGGAGCCTCGGTGAGGCTTCCCACTCCCGGAGTTTAATTTAGCGATTAGGGCTGATTAAGGCTTAAGGTTTATAAGGGTTTGGGGTGGAGCGTTTAGGCCCCGGCAGTGGAGTGTCGGTTTTAGGGATGAGGGTCTCTCTTACTGCGGGTTTAGAGAGTGGGGTGCTGTTCTCAGCCCTCAGGCCTGAACCAGCCCCTCCTCCCTACACCCTACCAACCCCCATGTCCGAAAACCTCCCGAAACCCTGGACCCTATAAACCCTACTCAACCCCTACAAACCCAAGACCAATGGCCTCGCACCACTCCAAATACCTCGCAAGGACCACGGCTGCGTCCCACACCTCGGTCGGTGGCCGGCTTGGGGGGCTCGTCTTGAGAGTGGACATGGACCTACAATGAAACATCCACTCTCTTTGCTGCTTGTAATTTATCACAGAACTTCATTAAAACCATTCTTACGAGTCTCAAAACAGGAAGAAAGGCGTCATCCCTGCAGTGACTAGCACTGACAGCGGCAACTCAGACGAGACTGCTCGGGATATCTCCTGAACGGTCTGGGGCTTATATGGTTTTGAGTCAGGAGAACCCAGAATCCGGATGTCTCACAGCTTACTCCCAAGCCCACACGATCCATCTGCAGCAAAGGCCGCCAACCCCCCAAATTCCGTAACACCGATGTCTTTTTGAGCCAGAACTCCCTGAACCCGAGACCTTGAACCCTGACCCCTAAACCCTTCCAAAAACCCAATGAGGGCAATAGGGTTTTGGGGTATATCATACTATAACTAGCTTGAAGTGCTTGTGACCCTCAAACCGCAACTGAACAAACTTATAGTATAATAAGGAACCCCCAAAACAGTATTGGTATTTAATTACGCAGGCCCCTATATTATCCCCCCTTGGCGGTCTCCCGGTGTCGTGGTTGTCTCTTGGTGGGGCTCTCGTTGGTCGCCTGGTGGTCTCTCAGTGGTCTCCTGGTGGTGTCCTGGTGGTCGTCGTTCTGGTCGGAATGCTCATGGTCTGTGGTCTTCTGATGATCCGCGTCCTGGTGTTCTCCTGGCGGTCTCTTGGTTCTCTCTTGGTATCGTGGTGGTCTCCTGGTGGTCCTATGGTGTCGTCCTGGTCTGCTGATGTCCTGGTGGTTGATGACTGTGCTCCTGGCATTCTGGAAAAAGATGTTCACAAGAATGCCGAACCACCCGCCCGGCAGCTGGGACTTAAGGGCATACTTCTGGTATGGACTTTCACTGGTTGAGGATCTCCGCCGCTAGCATAATCTAGGGATGACATGCTTGTAAGGGTACAGTTTGCTCCGCCCAATCCTGAACCCCACACCTCAAGCCCAAACCCTTGGAGCCCTAAAGGCCAGCAGCCTCAAATCCCCCAAATCCCCAAACCCTAAAACCCCTAAATCCCCACAGCCCAATTCAATGATTCCCAAAACACCAGAACTCCAACAGTCCCGAACCTCAAAACCTTGTGGCCTCAAAACCCTGACAAACTGAACTACTGTGAAACCCTAGAGTTTTGGGTTTTGCTCTGCAACGAAGCCCCAATTTGGAAGAAACCCCTGTTGTGTACCCCCCGCACAATATACCCCTAAGCCCTACTCTAATTGTTAATGTAGGGGTCCGAATAATTAGAATAGGGTTTTGGGCCCGTCTCTCGTCTACTGATAATCAAGAAAACCCAAAGCAACAATATTGGTAACTATCCCTAAACCCTGAACCCTACACAATAACATTGGCAATTCTCCCTAAACCCTAAACCCTGAGGAACATGTTTGGTAATACTCCCTACACCCTAAACCGAACAGAATAATATTGGTAAGTCTCCCTAATCCCTAAACCCTAAACCCTCAGGAATAATTAATAATATGGGTAATTCTCCCTCAACCCTAAACACAAAACCCGAACCCCTAAGGAGTAATGTTATTAATTATGTAGGCTGCTATATTATAACCACTCTTGTAATTATATTATAATGATACTATAGGTATATAATGAGGAGCCTCCAAAATAATATAGGTAATTATGTAAGCTAATTATGTAGGCTTCTATGAACCATTGGAAAATTATCACTATAAACCCGAAACCATAAATCCTAAGGAGTAATATAGGTAATTCCACCTAAACCCTCAACCCTAAGGAACAATATAAGCAATTCTCCCTAAGCCCTGAACCCTGAATCCTAATGAGGGTAATACTCCCTAAAACCTAAACCCCAAGGAATAAGTTTTGGTAATCCTCCCTAAACCCTAAAACCCTATACCCTAAAACCCTAAACCCTAAACCCTAAACCCTAAACCCCTCTATGTTAAGGCCGGGGCACACAGCAGCCGGTCACTCCGAGCTCTCCTTGCCCTGCAGCTCGCTGGTGTCTACTTTTAAGGGGCCTGAATCGCCTTTTTAGAACCATGAGGTTTAGGGTTTAGGGTTTAGGCTTTTAGGTTTTTAGGGTTTAGGGTTTAGGGTTTAGGGGTTTAGGGTTTAGGGTTCACGGGTTTAGAAATTAGGGTTCAGGAGATTAGGGGTTTAGGGTTTAGGGGTTTAGGGTTTAGGGTTTAGGGTACGGTTGGTGATATGAATCCTGTATTACCCATAAAGCGGATATAGGCCATAATTCACATAGTCTAGGGCCCTTGAGGTAATGCAGGATTGATATCATGAACAGAATTTTGGGGCTCCTTACTATAATCATGGTATAATATACCTCAAACCCTACTTTGGTCGAACTAGGGCCCGTATAAGAGTGAGGAGAGGGTCCTGTGCGGGTTTATGAACTTTAGGGTTCAGGGTATGTTCAGGCCTTGACCAAAACCTCAACCCTAAACCCTAAACCCTAGGGTTTAGGGTTTAGGGTTTAGTAAAAGAATAGTTTCTCTTGAGTTGCAATAAAACTGTGTCGATGGCGGGCTGTGAGTAAGAATATTATTATTGTGACCCTTTTATGCGATATACGGACTGAGCCGGGATCCGATTACCGTTTACCCAGACAACCCTAAACCCTAAACCCTAAACCCTAACTATATTAGGATCCAGAAATTGAGGCTCAAGGCATTTGGGGCTCATGGCTCAGAGGGTTTAGGGTTCATAAGGGACAGTTCTAGAGTTTAAACGTAAGGGTTAGGGCGGCTTCGGATCGACCTTGTGGTCTTTAGATGTCTTTAGATGGTTCTCTATATGCATGTTGTGGGGCCCTACCCTAAACCGTAAACCCTAAACCCTAAAACGTAAACCGTACTGGAAAATCAACATAGTCAACTCCGGCTCAAGCCCGCTCGAAGCTTAGAACCTGCAATGCTTTAACTAGAGCTTAGGTGAGATGCCCAGCCACTGAACTCTTGGGGGGTAAACCAGCATGCTGTCGGTATATCCCAAACTTTCAACACTATGCATCTCAAAATCTGGAACCCTCCACCCGAAACCCTTGCGTGAAGTCAAATCAAAAACCCTCATAGAGCCTTGCAGAACCGGTTCTAGAACCCTGTCAAGAGCCCCTTTATTGACAGAACCTTCGTTGTGGGCTCCGGGCGTGCGCGATTCTGCGCCACGCGGAATCGTCTCCCGCCCACGGTGCACGCGAGAGAATCGGAGGCGTGGTCATCAAATCTGGCAGCAGTTTACGGGGGCTTCTCTAGCAGGGCTGTTTCAGCAATGGTACATACACAGCTGCAGTGCTCCGCTCACCGAACCGCAACGTACCGCGGAATATCGCTTCTCCACTGCGCGCTTTCCCCTTCCAACCTCTGGCAGCCCTCCCTCCCACCTTTCCCCCCCTTCCAACTTACCCCTCCCCTCCCCCTCCCCCTGCTGGCCGAACCTCCCGATGGTTACCTTGTTTAGGGTGTCTATAAGGGTGCTACATGCTACATAGAACATCTGGTTTTAAGGGTTTAAGTTTTAGGACTTTTGGTATGTAAGCCATGTCGAGTTGAACGTCTGGTGCCCACCTGTGACTCCTATAATTACCTGCTAATTTTATGGGTGTACGCAAGAATTGAAGGGTCATGTCCTGGCGTTCTGCAGGGATCGGGGCGACAGATATGAGCAAGGGAAGCATGAAAGGCAGAAGAGTGGGACCAATCAAAGCACGTGTCAAAGGCATCTATGGTTGTGGTCCGAGGCTCGACAATGCTCCCCACCATGTGCCAAAATCTGACGCAGTTCTTCCAAAGTGTCGGACCGGCTCGGAAAAAGAAAACAGAAACATCAACATGCCTCAGTTTTTGCGCAAGATTGTTTGGGGCAATCCGGACCCCAAAGAAATCACACCCTCCCCGTCCTTAAGGGTCTTCATGTAAGTCAATGTAAGTAGGCCGAATTCAGCCCAGGAAGGAGATCTCACCATCCAGCGCCCGAAAAATCTTATCAACTCTTCAGGGGGTTCCTCGGAGAGGAATTTCTTCAGTTGTGGGATGCGCAGCATGCGACAATTGAAATTACGAGAAAAGCCACCCAGCAATTCAGAACAATTCAGAACACATCAGAAAACAAAAACACCAGCAGAAAACATCCGAATCATTCCGACAATCTGGTGACAGAACGCTCAGACTTCCAGTCCAGGCAGTGTGGCCAACCGAGGTTTTCTTCCGTTTCCACAAATGAGCAACACTGGAGCCGATCACAACCAAGTTCGAACAGGAACTGACAACTTCATTTGCGATTAATGCAAATGTCTTGTTTGTTTCTGGCTCCTTTGTAGTGTTTTTGCAAAATTGTTCAACATGTTGTTGATTTTGCCAACTTGTTGAATGTTTTACATCTCCCATTTTCGAAAGTGTTCTTGTGGTGTGGCTATGAGGCAACTTATATAAGGATTCTGTTATATATAAGGATTCTGTACGGATTTAACGCTCAGGGTTTAGGGTTTGCCTGCTCGATTCCTGGGTCCAGGGCGTTCGTTCTGGAATCCCGATCAGTAGCATACCCTGGGGTCGGAGCTAGGGCTCTTGGGGTTTAAGCTTACCCCTAGACCCTAAACTCTAAACCCATAGCCCTTAAACCCTAAACCTCAAACCCAAACCCTTAAACCCCATATAAACCCTAAACCCTAAACTGTCAACCCTAAACACTAAACCCCCAAACCCTGGGCCCTTATACCCTGAAGGCCTATGGCGCGCATCAGCACTGTCAGGGAGGCATGCCCAGGTCCACAGAGTCTCAGCTGCAGCATCCTGGTTTTGAGTTGAGGTTTAGGGTTTAGGGTTTAGGGTTTAGGGTTTAGGGTTTAGGGTTTGAGAACGGTTTAGAGTTTAGGGATTAGGATTTAGGGCCTAGGGTATAGAGTTGCGGGATTAATTTTGGGCCTAGGGCTTAGTGTATAGAGTTGAGGGTTTAGGGTTCAGGGTATAGAGTTGAGGGGTTATTCAGGTGGAGGGTTTATTGGGGTGTCGGGTTTACTTAACCCCCCGAATGCAGGTCCCGAACGCGCTGCTCCGGCTTCGCTTCGTCGCTGCTGCTCTCGGAGGATGCGTCCATCGGGCCAAGTGGAATCAAGTACAGTACCCGGATCTTCCAAAAGCCCTTAATCAAGGAATGTACCTCAACATATAATAGGATCCCGAATATGATTAAGGTATATTCCTTAATTAAGGGTTTTGCGGAGTCTCTGGGTAGTTTCGTTGTTTACATTGGCGACCCAAGCCCTAAACCCTACTGACCATTATAATATGACTATTACGGCTCATATCAGCTTGTGGTCGCTGAAGGGTACTATTGATAGGCTGCTTGTGAAACATTAGACTTTGGGGCTTGTGCTGTTGCCTTTGCGGTACCATGTCCACTTGCTCGCGGGTCTGTATAGGCTCCTCACCGTCAGGGCATATACCACAAAGCAACATGCACCTAGGCAACGGTAGCTTGAGACAGGCTTCGGCTGGGTTGTAAGGCCGCTCTGGAACTCGCAGCAAGTTCCGTAGCAAGCAGCCGTATCATGCCCGTATAAAAAAGCGACCATGGATTCTGGATGATTCTGGGCTTTGGGAATCCGGGACGGAAGAGTTTGGGGTTTCAGACTTGAGGCTCATGGAACTCAGGGTCGCTAAAAGAGGACAGGGGTTCGAAGAATATCTAGAGGGACTTGGCTTAGGAGTTATGCCTACAAACCACAAACAGCCCTCAGGGTTAGGATCACTAAACTATAAACCCCAAACCCTAAACCCTACACCCCAAGCCCTTTAAACCTTAAGCCCCAAACCCTAAACCCTTTAAACCTTAAACCCCAAACCCTAAACCACAAACCCTAAACCCGGTTTAGGGGTTTAGGGTTTAGGGGTTTAGGGCTTTAGGGGTTTACAGGGCTTAGGGCTGTCGGACTTTGGCATTGATGTGGTTCCCAAGGGGTCCAGCTATACTACCACCAGGGAATTCGGTTCCATACAACCCGAAACACTAAAGATGATGATGATGGTCATCATCATCATCATCATCATCATCATCATCACAATGACTAGAATATCGGCAGAATTGATTTCTGCGCGCTCGCATACTCTCCGAGAGGACAGTTTTGCCAATTGACTTAGGGCTTAGGGCCTTTAAGGGCTGGGATACCTACTCCCAGATCGACCTGGATGGACCTCAAGGCGTCAGCAGCAGCTCCACGGACAGAAACATCAGAGTCGCCCAAAGCCTTCCGGAGCTCCGGCACTGCTTCTCTTGCCTCCTTCCCGATGGAACCCAAGGCCCCAGCGGCAGATATGCGGACAGACGCAGTTGATGAGTCAACCAAAGCTTTCAAAAGTTCCGGCACTGCATCTGTTGCCTCTGTGCCGATTGCTCCCAGTGCTTCCGCAGCACCACAGCGGACAAGATAATCAGAGTCGCCCAAAGCCTTCCGGAGCTCCGGCACGGATTTCTCTGCCTCTTTGCCGATGGACACCAATGCTTTCACAGCATGTCTGCGGACAATAGAATTAGAGTCCCCCAAAGCCTTCCGGAGCTCCGGCACTGCTTCTCTTGCCTCCTTGCCGATGGAACCCAAGGCCCCAGCGGCGCTTATGCGGACAAAGGGTTCAGAGTCATTCAAAGCCTTCCGCAGCTCCGGCACGGCCTCTCTCGCCTCTCTGCCCATGGACCTCAAGGCTTCAGCGGCACCATAGCGGACATAAGCACTAGAATCGCCCAAAGCGTTCCGGAGCTCCGGCACGACCTCTTTTACTTTCGCCCCTTTGCCCAGGGACCCCAGCGCTTCAACGGCAACACCGCGGACAAGGTATTCAGAGTCATCCAAAGCTTTCCTGAGGTCTTGCACAGCTCCTTCTGCCTCTTTGCCAATGGACCCCAACACTTTAGCTGCAGCTTGGCGGACATAAGCATTAGAGTCGCCAAAAGCCTTGCGGAGCTCCGGCAGCACTGCTTGTTTTTTCTCCTTGCCGATAGACACCAAGGCTTCAACGGCAGCTTGGCGGATATCAGCGTGATCGTCGCCCGCCGAAATCAAGAGCCCAGGCAGCAATTTCTCGACTGCTCCTTCTCGGCACGCAGTCCGCAAGTCTGTCGCAGAAAAGCCATGTAAAGCCTCCTGATCCTGATTCAGAGAACTCCAGAGGCAGAGTTCCAGTGGTATAGACGAATCGAACATCTGCACAATGTCCGGCAGCATAGCAGGGAGCTGCTTGATGTCCTTGGACAGCTGGGGCAGCCTCAGGCTTGCAATCCCTGGAATGTAGCCAGGTGGCAGCTGACGTGCTACCCACTGAAAAGCACCGAAGTCGATTTGGCCTCTGCTGAAGCAGCTCTTATAGCTTTCCACAGTCAAGAGCTTCATGCCACACTCCGGTGACAGGCGCTCCCCAGGCTTCAAGAACTCCGTCGCTCTGCCATCCAGCTGCTTGTACTCCGAACCTGCACTCGGTGACTCCTGCGAGGTCAGGATGTCCACACATGAGAAGGTCTTCACCTTGCGCCAATCATCTAGGAGCCCGCTACTTTCAATCCTGTCTCTGATAATCGGCATAAGGTGGTGGCACTTGACAACTGGATGTTCATTCAGCACGCGCAGGCCCTCCATGGGCGGATACCTCGCGAGTGCGGGGAGCTCAGCGCGAAAGAAGATGGTCTCCCGCAAAGTCCACTGACCCCTCAAGGGCTTGTTCACCAGGAATCGGACCAGAGCATGTCCGTTTCGCCATACAACGGCATCTGAGGCTGCTTGCCAGATTGGCTCTTGCTGAGGCCAGTCGCATCCTTGCAAGAGCTGTTCATCAGCGTTCTTGGTCTTGACATTCTCCAGAATGCGGCCGAAGGGCGTCTGGATATCGTCATTTCCGCCAGCTTGCAGCCTCAGATCGCAGAGGCTAAACCGGCCTAATTACATCCCAGTGAACCTAGACTCTTAAACGAGGCAGTGCGAGTTTATGTGATGCATGATGGTTCAATATCATATATGAGCGTCGGCGTTTATTCATCATATGGGTCCTAGCTCCCGTTTTCATGTCCGGACAATGATCTCCTTTACCTAATAACTACTCTTCCGGGCCATCCTCGTTTTGCAAGCTGATCTCGTTCAATATAGATGAGTGCTGGGACGAAATGCATGTTGAAATGTTTTGTAGTCATGAGGTCGAACCGAGGAAGCCAACCGATCTGAAGTTGTGGAGCCTAGCTTTGCTTGGTTAAGAAACGTTGCTTCCGCATACCTGTACATGTGCCTTCCAATCAATGGTCACCATGCCAAACCGGGCCTCTGCAATCCAAAGCCGACAAACTAGGACCTAAACCCTAAACCCTAAACCCTGTTTAGATCGCGTCTGGATCTCGTTTGGGGCCTGGCCGAATAATACAAACACGACCCTTCTTATACGCAGCGGCGAATTCCTGGTTCTGCTGAAATGACCAGCAAACGGGACCAACGCTACGTCCACACCTTGGTCGAAGAGGCCTGCGCTTCTGTACATCGACCCGCTGTTCCACAGTGCAGAAGAAAAGAACACTGAAATTCCACATCATTTCTTATCTTTTCGTAAACCCTTGATCTCGTTTGATGTCCGCACCATATATCTAGCTACCTGCTGTACCATCTGGGCAAAAACAGCGTGACTCCCACTCTAATCATCCCTGCAGAAATAAATCCGGTTGCTCATATGAGGCCAGGCGACATGTAGGTGTTCAAGGATGTGCAGCACTTCTCGCGCGATTCAGGCGAGATCCCACTCCAGAGAAGCAAGGTGGAATTCTGGTCGTAGAAGGCCCTCTTCGTAAAGAGTAGCCCGTGTGATGCATCTCGCCTTCCCCATCTCAGGGCCTCCATGACGTTGCGCGCCATCTCTGTGGCATTTACACCTCTGACATGCGTGATCCAATCGTACTGGCCATTCTTCAAGCCTTCCTGCACCGATTGGCAGAATCGAAAGAGCTCCTCTTCGAGCATCTGCAGTTTCTTCTCACACGCGGAGGAGAGCTCCGCATCTTCAGGGTTCGCTGGAGCCTCGAGGCGAAAAGCGATGGCATGAGAACCGCACGCGAAGAAATGGAAAAGCAGACTCGTCCGGAGGACATGTGCCATGGCCGCATGAACCCTACATGGGTTTAGGGTTTAGGGTCTAGGGTTTAGGGTTCTATTGGACGAAGGGTTAAAAGATGATACAAGATTCCGACTTCTGGATGCTTCGGGAGGCTTGGCGATAACTCTACCCCGTGCATTGTAGATGTATACACACACATATGTAAACCAATACATACGTACATACATACATACAATACATACACACATACATACA